GAATACTTACATTTATTCAATCAACATAAATGGAATGATTCAGTGAATGAATTAAGCTCTTCAAAATACTATCTGCTCAATGCTTTCTTATTGATGGTATTATTGTGACTTCTATTTTACAGCAAAATAGTGAAGGGACTTTCCCCTAAACAGCCAACAATGGTGAAACCCAGGGGTCATAAACACTATGCTCCCTCCTCCCCTACACCCAAGAAAAACAAGGTGTGCCCATCACGGTTAACAATGTCTTTGTGGTATTTTTCATTAAATGCAAATATGTTTTTAAAATAGATTTCAAAAATCCCCCTTCAAAAATGTGTTTGTTCATAAAAACTAGGAAGCGAAACCAACTTAGTGATAAATTTTAAACTAAAGTGAGATTCCACAGTATCTTGTTCATGGCCTTAACCTGGGTGAAAACCCGAGAAGCCAACCCCAAGTAGAAGTGATGAAAAGAAAACCACAGCTGAGGTGATTTGAAATGGTGCAGACAGGTTCTAAAGATGTAAGTAAAGAAACTGCTGCCAGGACAGCAAACAGCAGTGCACATAGTCAGGGGGCCCTGCCCTTGTCCCACCCCACCCTCATAGGCCTCAAGTCCCCAAAGACTTGATGGTCCCCTGGGAGGCACACAGAGGGGACATAGTCACCTGCTTCCCCAATCACTACTTTTTCTTTGCACATACAACCTTTAACCTGTGCCACCCCCACTGGAGACCGACTCTTTCCCCCAGGTGCATGGAAGCTCATACTGTTTACAGAGCTCTTGACAGTGAATCTCACCCTCAATAATTAATTCTAAAACTCACATTACTCCTAACATCAACTTCTGTGTTTTTCTTCCCTACTGCTCTTCTCCTCCAGCCTTACTTAAACTCACCTCACTTTTGAAGATAAAGAATATTACTGTAGAATAAAGAAGTACCTTCTGATTTGTCTCTTGGATAAGGTCAGGTTTCCAAGGCTGCGTTAATAATCAAACATTATTGCCTGACCCTACGAAGAGTTGAAACGAAAACAACCACCAGCCTGCGATGCTTTCCCCAGATGGTGGGCACTTACCAACATCCTAAACACATTCCGACCCGAAGCATCCATGGCTGGAGCGAGCAAGGAGGTGGTGTTGGAGCTGGTCTCTGGATGCAGGCTGATTTCATTCAGATCCAGCCTGATTTATTGCAGGCTTTAGTCGGTGGACTGAGGCTAATTTGTAAGAGCTTGAAAACACTTAATTTCATAATGGAGTTGTGTGGTTTAAAACAAGG